GGGCGGACGCGATATGAACATCCTAAGGACGTCTTTTTTACGTCCTGTGCCCACTGGGTTAGAGCGCAGCCATTGAAGAAGGTTAGAAAAATCATGATTAATATGCTTGTTAATTTTTTTTAATAATTTGTTTGTTATGAATAAGTTGGTGTCGTCAGCAAAATAGTAAGCCGTTAAAAATTTTAAAGAGATATTAAGATCATTTATAAAAATAAGGAAAAGCAATGGTCCTAATACAAAACCTTGAGGTACACCCGTGGAGCATTTTATTGGAAAAAATTTGACATCATTGATGGAGACAAATTGCGATCTATTAAAGAGATATGATGAAAACCATTGCAGAGTATTACCTCGAACACCGCAGTGTTCTAATTTACTTAAGAGGATGGAGTGATCAACAGAATCAAAGGCTTTCTCAAGTCAAAAAACACTCCACATGCAAAAAGTTTATTGTCAAGAGCATTTCTAATAGTTTCAGTTATTTTAATAAGTGCATGAGTTGTGGAGTGTTTGTTACGAAATTCTTACTGATGTTTGTAAAGACATTGGTTTTTATCAAGAAAGCTATAAAGTCTGTTGTACATGGTTTTTTCAAATATTTTACTAATGTTAGATAGAAGAGAAACTGGTCGATAATTTATGTGGTCCATTAGAGAACCCTTTTTATGGATAGGAATAACTTTGGCTATTTTAAAAACATCTGGAAAAAGACCTTTATTAAAAGAATTATTCAATATGGTACAGAGAGGCTTGCAAATAACATGAGAAGTAAGTTTAAGAAAGTGTGTGGGGATACTATTTGATCCAAACCTTTTACCATTTTGTAAACTATTTTTTATTAAATTAGACACCTCATTTTCAGTCACTGGATTAAGAAAGAAAGAATTAGAAATAGCATGTTTTAAATAGTCAAAAAAGAACTTTTAGAAGAAATCATTTTACTTTTGGGTGGGTGTTTTATTGTTTCATAGTATTTGTTAAAAATGTTAGCAACAGCCATACTGTCTGAGATAGTGTAACCATTAGACTTGAGAGTGTAAGATTTAGTTGGTGTAGAGGGTTTGATGTTAATAATTTCTTTTATTCCTTTCCATGTATTTTCTGTATTGTTGAGGTTTTTGTTAAAGAAGGAGATGTAGTATGACTTTTTGGAAATTTTTAATAAATTGCTAATTTTATTCCTGTAAAAATGAAATTACAAAAATTATAAATATATTTACCAAAATCTTATTAAAAATACTAAAAATACTACAATAATCAAATTATCAAATGCAAAGTTGATACTTAAAAAAACATGGTACGTCATTAATGACATAGTAGGAAGGAAAAAAACAAGCTCGCCTACTTTACGTAAAAGAATTAATATACAAAACATTGATTTTTTCTGTTAAAAACAAATCTCTATAATAGCTATTTTATAAACATTGGTCCAAATCTTGCTTATAAAATAATTTCAACACTGATTCATTTCAAAAATACTTACAACCTTCTAATAACGCTGTCATGCTTGACAATGATTTTACCTATAAGGATTTGAAGAAACATTTTTCTTCTTTAAAAAAAAAAAAAAAACGCTCTTGGATTTGTTTAAATACCTAGTGATTTAGTTATTTCAAACAAAAACAGCCTAAGCAAACCTCTGACCCAAATCCTAAAGCTCTCAATATCCACTGGGATTTTTCCTGACGTACTTTAATTAGTAAAAGTAATTCCTATATACAAAAATAATTATCATTCAGACATTACAAACTATAGACCTATCAGGGTTAGGGTTAAATCAACATTTTATGTATTTTTAAAACTTTTCGAACGTGTAATTTATAATAGAATCTATGATCATTTTACTAAAAACAATTTATTTTACCAAAATCAGTTTAGATTTCGAAAAAACCTTTCAACTGAACACGCAATACTTGAAATAGTAAATCAAATAATTGATGGTTTTAAACAAAACAAACTTACCTTAGGAGTATTTATTGACATATCAAAAGCATTTGATACAGTAGATCAGGGCCGTCCCGACGAGGTCTTCCATGGGGGTAGGGGGGTGTAAGTATTTTTTTGCCAACTAAGGACACACCAAAAAAAAAAAAAAAAAAAAGAAAATCAATACTTGCTATTTGCCAACTATAAATATAGCAAACTATATTTATATTTAAATTTGCCAACTATAACTTTAATATAAATATAGTTGGCAAAATGTCAACTATATTAATAAATACAGTTGGCAAAATGCCAACTCAAAAAGCATTTCAGTTGGCATTTTGCCAACTATATTTATTATATAAACTCAAAAAGCAATTGGCACATTGAGCAAAACTTGCTCAATGTGCCAACTCAAATGCTTATATGACAGCTTTGGAGGTGTGGGACACCCCCGAAACCCCCTCCTCCTCCCTACCGAAGTTTATTTAAAAGTATGCAATGATCTAAGAAGTTTAAAATAAATGTAAATGAAAACTATAACCTTAGGGCAAATTTAAGTAACAAATATAAACTGCCTTAAAAATCTGATAAATATATGGAAACAGCATTACATATAGAGGACTAAAAATATGGAATACCTATCAATAAGGACTCAAGTGTATGGTCAAGTCGTTAAGTTCATTTAAGTATCTAACAAAAACAGAAATTTTTAAAACATGAAATTTTATATTTTTTATAATACTTTTATATTTGTGCATATATTTATTTGGAGGTCTCTTGATCATTTTTTCCGTCTTTTCAGTTGTTTTTTTTTTTAGTTTTTTTTTCTATTTTTTATTATTTTTTTATTTTTGTCTTTGTCTATTTTAATTTTTAGCGCAATAAAGAATACTATTATACTTTCATAGTTTTTAATTTTTCGATTTTTAGTTTAAAATAAAAATGACCATACTTTATTAAAACTTTTTAAGGGGCTCTATGAAAAGATTGCGACGACGTATGTTGTCGTTTGTTAATGTTTTATGGTAGTTTTAAAGTGACTCAAAACAATATCTTCTGAATTTAATAAAATGGTAATAACCTTTGTAGATTGTATTTATAGATTAAAGATTATAAATATTTAAAGTAGAAAGCTGTGACTTTTAAAAAGTCAACTCAGTTGTATATTAATATCTTTTTCTACTTCTATTTATTCTTCTTTTATACAACGCTTTTGAGGCTAATCAGTAGTACATTTATCCATAGTTAGAAGAATAAAAATAACAATAAGAATGAATACTTTTTATGGCAATGATTTATCTTGTCACAAAGTTAAAAACAAATTGTCATATGACTTAACTTTATTTGTTTACTTAGAAAAAAAAAGTCACAGTTTTCAATTTTTTGTTTTTCTTGCTCTCTATTTGGGTGCAAAAGTTAGACGGAGAAAAATGTCTTTTCCGCTAGAATGGTCGAATTAAAGAGGACTGAAAAAAACTGAGTAATTAAAAAAAAAGCGCATCATGATAGCGCTGTTATCATAGGAAAAAATGTCCGATCTGAAAAACATCATAAAAACCATCGGGCGCACATGCTTGCATTAGTAGTTTAGTATAAACGAGAAAGTATGAAGAAACAATTTATTTCAAAAAATGTCAACATATAACCGTTTCTTGTTCCAGAACACATTCTGCAAATTTAAAAGTGTTTTAGTCATTTGAAACTTGGTATTTTAACTAGATTTTTTTAATCCTCAGGTTTATGCAACAACTGCAGACAATGACTCAAACTATGTTAGTGCCTTTAACCAGGAAAAACAGAGAGAAAGTGGATCCTGAAGTGATTAACTAAGAGCCTTTCTTTTTATAGGAAATTTCTAGAAAGTTGCTATGATGATGTTCTACCAAGCCCTGTCGTTGTGCAACGAGCTTGCTGGTTTGTAAAGATACCTAGATATTACAGAGTTGAAATTTGAATCCAAGGCCATTGTTTTTTAAGGCCAGATGCAGAGACTCGTGGGATTGCGCGTAATTAACACCAAAAAATTAAATTTGGCGCCAAAATCCAACAAGACTCACCAGACAAATGCTGGCAATATCGATGTAAGTTACAATTCACTCATAAGAAATAAGCAACACAAAGTAAATTTATATTTAATGTAAGACAAAAAAAAAAAAAAAAAAAAAAATAAGAAGGTAAAAGCAATTACAAAATAGTGTAACTTTACATCATCCCGTATTGATAGCTAAAATTAATCATGGGGGAGGAGAACAGAAAGTTTTTTTCTTTTACTTTTAAAATTGAAATATTTTTTTGTATAGTGAACTAGTTGCGGACTAACACTTCTAATTATGAAGTTTGATATCTTTATTAGGGTAAGAGAAGTAGTGGTTTTTAGTTCTAAAGATGCAGAAGGTAGCGATAGCTCTTTTAAACATTTGATAACGATGTCCAGCTCTGAGAGTGTGTTATGTTCTCTTTTAATCATAAAAAAATAAAACACTTGTTAAATTTCTTTGAGTTCAACCAGTGCCAGATTGATGTTTAGTTTAATGGAAAAAGGGGACAGTTAGAATGTGTTTAGGGCAATATAAAATATTGTGAGAGGAGGGGGGTGTCTTTCGTAGATTATTTATGGCTTTTATTGCAAATATGATTAACTTTCTTCATATTTTTATTTTTCCTCTTTATTTTCCCAGATTATTTTTTATTTATTTATTACTTTTTTGATTATTTATGTATGTATTAATTAATACTTTGTTAATATGATTAATTATTACATTCTTGATGTTTTTATTTTTAACATTAAGTAAATCTAAAACATCAAATAACCAAAAAAAGTTGAACTTACTAAGTTTATTTGCTAAAATTGTCTTTAATAATAATTAAAAAAAAAACATTTAGTATTATTGCAATGGTAAGACATTTAAATGTAAAAAACATTGAAAGCAAGCATTAAGTAAAAAATTTGCTTTCCTTCTACTTTTTTGAAATTGATTTAGCAAGATTTCATCAAACCAAAACACTTTTTTGTTAACTCATTTAAGTTTTGATTTCTAAAGAAAAAAATTTAAAATAAAACTCATTCTGTGGATAATCAAAAAACGACGGAGTGTAAACAGATGTTTTTTCTATGATCATAGCATTATTAATTAAAAATTCTTTTAGAAAATTATTGAATTTTAAATGAACGCTGTTTCAACAATTGATGATAAAAATAAAAATGTATTTAAAAAAAGTCAAAAGCGTTTATGAAAGATTTTACAGCTTAAAATGATGAAAAGTATGAAAATGAGAATGGTAAGAAACATTTCTAATAAAAACTTTTCAAAACTTTTTGTTTTATCAAAGTCGTTTTTAAGTTACTGTTTAAAATTGTAAAAACAAGCACTCTGTGGCGAGCGCAGAGTTCAACCACCTAATGTGTAAAAAAAAGCCATAATGGAGAGAAAAAGTTATTACTAATTTTTAACTATTTATAATTACTAACCGAGTATAGGTGTGCTTGAAGAAGAGATAACCGACGGCAACATTTTAAGAAAAAAATTAAAATTATATATGTGTGTTGTTAACAAAAAAAAAAGTTAACAAAACAAAAAAACAAACAAAAAAATAACAATGATTTGCAAACTATTGCAAGTACAGCAGGCAACTAAGAATAAGCTGTCATTAACCAATATTAAAAAAACTAAGCTCATTTAAATAAAAAAAGGTATCTGTTGACAACAGTTGCTGTTGACAACGCTTATGATTTTGGCGATTAGTCATCATTAATGTGACAACACATATGACAGTTTAATATATTTAACAAAATGATTTTCGGTTATAATTAAACTTCTAAATAAAATTTTTTTATGACTATTTTTTCTTGACAAAATCAATTTATTTGGTATCAATGGTATCAAATGGAGGATGTCTCAATATTGATGGTAATTGATACTTAAGGAAAAACTTCTTTTTTTCCTTTTTACTAAAATAAGGCCAAAACTGACTCTTTTTTTTCTAATACCAACTTGAATTGTTTTAAATGAATTTAACGATGCTATGCTTCCTATTTTTTTGATGATATCATTGTTTTGTATATCTTTATATATTGTACATGTTATATAAGTCTAACCTAGAGTTTTTATTATCTAATATTACCTGTTGACAAATATTTTTAATAAGTGTATTAAAAAAGCATTTAATAACAACCCGCGCTTTTTTGTTTTTTATTAAATACCTCAACACTCTGTTGAGGTGTTTAATATACATGGGTGTTTACTATACATGGGTGTTTAACTAATGTTTCATTTTATACCTTATATATTTTAATATTTATTAACCATTATCATTATAAAATGATAGTTGCTTGTTTATATAGTAAATTTATTTACTTGTTTATTTAAATGTACCTTTTTTGAGCAATATAAAAAATGATAAAAAAGAAGAAAAATAAGTGAAAACGTAGGCCTACTCAGAGGCAGATCCAGCGTTTTTTTGTATTTGAGATATTTAACTTTCAGTCATGGAGCGAATTCCGAACATTTATATGTTTATCCTTATGTCAAATAAGGATGCTTTGCAAAAACTTGCGATGATTCGGGTCTGAAAAAAAAGCCCAAAAATTTTTGCCCCTTTCCCCCACACGTGAGAGCAACAAGTTGATAAAATATTGTTTTTACTGTTCTCAACTAAATTTATACTTTACCGATAAATTTTAAATTTCATACTGTAATCTTTTTACATTCAAAAATTATGACTATAAAAAATTTGTTACTCCCTCAAATTGAGGCGGGTTGAAACTTTATATGCTCATAATTTGTGAACGCTGAAAGATTATACAATAAAATTTAAAATTTATTGATAAATTAAAAATTTAGTTAAAAAAACAATATTTTCTTAACATTTTACTTAACGTTTAGGACGATAATTTTGCGCTTTTTTAATTCCATACCCGAATCATCGCAAGTTTTTGCAAATCATCCTTATTTAACATAGGCATATAAATGTTTGGAGTTTACTTCATGTCTGGAAGTTAGTTAATTTAACTTTCAAAAAATGCTGGATTCGCCCCCCTGCTGCCCCTGTTTCAACTTTATATTATTGATCAAGAGGTTTATGAAAAAAAAAAATTAAGATAATTTTAAAAATGAAAAGTTTTTTTTTTCTTGCATAAAAAATTAAATTCTTTATATTATATTGATGTTATTTATTGTTATTTATTGTTATATCTGTCATCAAATCTTTGAACTTATAATCTATAATTAACTTGCTAAAATAAAAAATATGAAAAAATCTAAATGTTTTGTTCAAATCTTTCATATTCTGTATTTGTCATACATAAAAATATGTACTTTAGCAATATTTGAAATTAAAGGTGTCGAATCTGATGTTTAAAGGTATCGAATCTGATGTTCAAAGGTAGCAGATCTAACGTTTTTTTATTAGAAATTATTTTTTTTATTTTTTATATGTTGAAGTTTTATTCAAAACTGACGCAAACATATTAAAAATAAAACGAATTTTCTTTCGAAGGTTAAACATGGGTTAAAGGTTAAACATAGTTGAAACGTTTTGTTTTTTTCAAAAAATTCAGTTTTTTTAAAAAATGTGCATTAAAGTTGTTTTTATACATTTTTAGTTCTGTTTTAAAAATATTTTATGTACATTACCTTTTTCCAACATAAACAATGAAAAAAATTAGCTAAAACTTTTTTTTATTTGACTTGCTAGAAAAATCTTTTTACTAGTTAAGGAATGTAACTTTTACCCAGTGTCTAAGATATGTATTAATACATTAAAGCACGTGTTTTAGACGTTTTAAACACTTTTTGTTTCCGTCCAAAACACGTCTTGCACCATTCAAAAAAGTTATTTTAAGAATACAACTAAAATAGTATTACTTTTTATAAAAAATATTCCTAGAATTTTAGAAATAATTGGTTAAAAACTTTATAAGATTTAAGTTAGATTTCACAAAGTCATTGCGCATGAAAATAATCAAGCAAAATAACCAAAACGAACACACAAAACTTAAGTTTTTAACAATTGCTAAAATGCATACTTTTGAATCAAGAAAAAAACTATTAAATCATAAAACCAAAACAATAAAGATAAAAAACAAGTAAAATACTTCGAAATCATACGCAAAACAAATAATCTATATAACAATGCGTTTTTTAATTATGAATACACTTTAATTGCACTTTATGACTTAAGTATGACTCGCTTTGCTAAATTGGTTTTTCATAATCTGATGTGGTCCAATGGTGGCCTGATCTGGTCCGGTCTAGTATTAGTATACACCGCTGTTTATTAAACATAAAATTTCGGTCTATATTTTCGGTAATTTACCATATTTCGGTAAATTACCATATTTCGGTATAAAATCTTACATTAGTAATTCAAATAAAATAATTTTGGAGAAAAACCTTTTTTTTTTGTATTAAGCCGATAGAGATTGGTTAAAACAAAATTATTTCGATGTAATACATCCATATAATATTGCATACTTGAATTGTTATTAAATAAACCTTTGAACAGCTAAACGCTAACTTATCAAATTGAGACAACCTTGAAAGAATCTATATTAAGAAATTATATTTTAGAGAGTGTTGCTTATATAATTATTATTATATAATATATTAAATAAATAGTATTTTTATATTAATTATTGAATAATCAGGGCCGGTTTAACCCACGATCACATCGGTCACGTGCAGGGAGGCCAGAAGTTCAAGGGCTAGAATGTTCAAGTTATTTTTTGAAAAAATGGCTACATTTTTGATCCCATACTTTACTTTTGAAAAATTGGTGCTGAAGCATGTCTAGTCTGGGACTCGGCCGCTACCCTAGACTTGTCCGAGAGGTTTTTTTTTTTGCAACGACATTGCAACAGTGGACGCTTTTTTAATAGCTTGAAAGAACTTTTGAGTTTAATCAAAATATTGAAGAAAACGCAATGAATCAAGCCAAAGATAGGAATAACAAAAATAAAACGTTGTAAAAAACGAAATATTAAAAAAGAACATAATTTAAAATGAACGGAGAAAAAAGGAAAAAAAAAAATAATAATAATAAAACCTAATGAAATTAAAAATGACATTCAGATGAATGAGAATTGCAACATTAAAAAAATATAATTAAAAAATCCAGAAACCAAGATTTTTATTATTTGTTTTTATTATAATTTGTTAATGTTATTTACTTCCTACATTCTTTGTTAATGTTGTTTATTTCCTACATTCTTTGTTTAGTTATTTACTTCCTACATTCTTTGTTAATATTATTTACTTCCTACATTCTTTGTTAATGTTATTTACTTTCTACATTCTTTGTTTAGTTATTTACTTCCTACATTCTTTGATTATTTGTTCTGATAAATCTTCCTATAGTTTTTTTGAGTTGTTTGTATATAGGGCGCCTATGATGGCGTACTTAACTAGGGAAAAAGTACCTATGATGGCGTACTTAAATAGGGAAAAGGTTTCTATGATGACGTACTTAACTAGGGGAAAGGCGCCTAAGATGGCATACTTAACTTTGAAGCTTTATTATTCAGTACCCTGAAGACCAAAACCAAAAGTTTTGATATAGATACATTCTTTGATACATGTAGAACTATAATGATCTTAGGAGTTTTTATCAGTTTTTTCTTTTATTAGTTATTTTTATTTAAAAAAAAAACAAAACACAAGTATGCCATCATAGGTAACTACTGCTCCTATGATGGCATAGGGGAGGATAGGACTGGTTAGCATCAAAGGTAACTTGACAATTTCATAATAACTTAGAGTCTCCTCTCAGAAATGCAAGAAATTAAACGTAGCCATCCTATTTAATACTTTCGTGTTACGCGCAGCAGTGTTAAATTTTGCGCATGCGCATAAGAGATTGTGCGTTTTATGTGTTTTTTGAACCAAAAATTATTTAGTGAAGTAAAATTTCCTTTTTACTTCACTAAAAAATGTTTTGTTTTTATGAAGAAAAAAAAATTGTTTTTTCAACTCATCAATATTGCAACACACCTAATCATTTTCATTTAAATAAACTGTCTGCCTTTTTCAAAAGATAAAATTAAAATAATTATTCTTCTAAATGCACAAAACTTTGAAATAAAATGTATGAAAATTTTATGTACAATTAATAATAAAATCACAATCTTAAATATATTAAAGGGATTAAAAATACAACAGCACATCCCAAAATTGATTTTTGTTGATTATAAAAGCAGTATTTATGCATAAGGGAATTAAATAAGGGACGTATTTTTATTAAAACTAATGTAAAGTCAGTCGACATGTTGGTCTAATCACTTTTTCGCCATAACCAATATTTATGAAAATATGACTGGTATGCCATCATAGGCGCTATGCCATCATAGACGCCTTTACCCTATAATTTGTATAATAGTATACTTTTTGTTAGATAAAGGGTATCCTATTATGTAATATTTATAAAGTTACTCGAAGTTATTTTTTTTTTTAACTGATTACTATTTATTTACGTCTTCTATTTTTTCGTCGTACATTGTTCAAAATTTTTTTGGAATAATTTGAATTCAAAAACTTTAACTTCTTTTAATTAAATGTTAATTTATATTAATTATATGTTAATTTTGTTATTTTTCTGGGGTAGTGATCAACCGAAACCGAATAAACCGAAATTTCGGATACATTCGATGCCGAAACCGACATTTTTGCAAATATTTTACCGAAACCGATACCGACATTTCGGCTAGTCAAAATAAATTTCATTAGAAAAATTTATTTAAAAATGCAATTTTACATTTGTTGTTTTTTTTATACTCGTATTATTTTAGAATTGATTACATGCGTATCACAAATTAAGATTCAATTCATAAGTTGGCGAAGTTAACAGCGAAAATTAACTACTGTTGGCGATATAAGTTAATAGCGGAAATTAACTACTGGCAGATTTTCTTTGCAATTCAAGATTTTCTCGAGGTATTTTGTAAAAACTCTTAAACTTTTTGTAAAAATTCATTTTGTAAAAATTCTCAAAAATAACTGTTTTTCAAATTTTACCGAATTTATAAAAAGTACCAAAACCGAATTTTCGGTATCGGTTTAAATTGAAATTTCTGCCGAAATCGATACCGAAACAGAATTTCGGTCAATCACTACTCTTGAGGCCTTAAAAAAATAAAAGAAAGGGAGGTGGGGGGGGGGGGGCGTTTATTAAGTTTTGGAAAACTTTCCTACTCACTCTAAGTTTGTTAAGATCCCCCATTTATTAATTTTTACTTATTATTCACAAAAACTTTATATCTCAAAACTAAAAAAAAAAAAAAACGTTCAGTGCAAATCGGCCGTAAAATTTACGAAATAATTATTTTAGTCACCGATAAAAACAAAACTTTCAGAGTAGAAAACCTTTAATAAAACGTCGACCTAGTAAATCTCAAAAATTGTCAAAAATGAGCTTTTGATTTATTTCTTACCAAATTCTAAAACTTTTACCAGCATATTAAATCCTATTAACATTGTGATAAAACAGCTGTTAGAAAAATTTACTGTAAACACACTGTTTAATAAATTGTGTGTTTAAGTACAGAGGAAAATACTAGTCGTAACACAATATTTAAAACATTTTGGCTATTTTAAACCGATACTGAAAAACTAATAGGGGGCTAAATGTTGAGAAAATTGCCGAGATATTTTTAAACCAATACTGATAATAATACATTTTCCTTATAAAATCTATTTAATCAAATGAAAAGTTTTTAGCATATATAAATAAAAAAATCAGAGAAATAAGTAACAATTTAAATTATTATACCTCCTCATGTTGGTCAGGTTGTATACCTCCACAGATTAATAAGTTGTGAACCTAATTTTTTATCAAAATCACTTGGGATTTTATTTTAATTTGATATAATTAAAGTATTGAAATTGGATTTTGGTTTTATAACCTTTATAACTTATAGCATTTTTCTTTATTTTTTTATTGAATTTTTTTTATTTTTAGCAAATTTGTCTTTTTTATTTAAGGAGATTTTAGAAAACGATAACTCTTTTGTGGAAAACTATGACGACAATGTTGATGTAAAAGAAGTAATTCGCTGTTCGATAAAAAACAAACACGCTTCTTTTAATTCAGACATTTTAGCGGAAAAAGAGGAATCTGAGATAGAAGATTGTGAAGATTCAGATAAGACATGCTCAAGGAGGCAAAACAAAGTATTTACTTTTAAAGTTATTGATATAATTTGCATTATATTTAATTACTCTTAGAGCTAAGGCTCTTGCACTCCCGTTCGCCTTGCCTCATGCGTCGCCGCGATCTCTTGCACTCCCGTTCGCCTCATGCGTTGCCGCGATATCTGTATAAGTACGTATAGGCGTGCGTGAACAAAAACATTTTTAAACAAAATAAAGTATATACAAATTAATTAAATAATACATTTAAAAATGTTCATTATAGCATTTATATTAAAATTGATTTTTAAAATTAAGTCCTTTTGAAGTTCAAAATTAGTCCTTTTTTTATGGTAATAACACTGATATTGCATTTCATGAAAACCAGACTTTAAATTTTTATAGGTTATATTATAAATGGTTTTTGAGCCATCAAGCAATAAAGTTTACTTAAAATTATCCGAGAATTAAGAAATGTCTTGGTTAGTATGCTTTTTAAAAATTTCCATAAAGTTTTAAAATAGCCTTTTGTTTTTCAATAAAACATGATTTGTTTGTATTTTATTTTAAGGTTAATTCACTTACCTAAGGCCGAGAAGGCCACGACAGTAGATGAGGCTACTTTAATTGTGGTTAAAAGCTTCTTTTAACACTATAAATCCAAAACACGAACCTTGCTAAACAAGGCCGCTACGCGGAGAAACGAGTAGAGCGCGGTAATACCAGGGATGTGGTGGGGATTGAACTTGGAATCTCTCGCTTATGAAGTGAGTGCTCTACCACAACACCACTACATCATTAGACTAATTTGAAAGCACCAATATTTTTTGGACTTCATGTTTAGCTGTTTCTTGTTACAAAACAATTCATACGGTGTTACAAATTTTAAGTAATGCAGTGCAGAAATTACTACCTAATTATTGTGATTTTTAATAATTATTTATTTAAATACCAATTATTTTTATATAAAATATTTCAAGATTTTAACAAAAATTATTTATTAGGGGAAAGTCGGGTAGCCCCGTACGATGGGACACTTGATGCACAGTATAAACTAAAGAAACAATATGACTTTAAATACTATAAATACATCGGTTAAGTGAAAATATGGCAAATGCAAAATGTTATAATATACCGAGGCGATTAGCTGGGAATGCAAGATATTGTTTCCCACCACCAGAAGAGCGATGTATCATGTTTGATTAGTATACCTAACTTTTATGTAAACTAAAAACGTTTTATTGGTTAAATATACATTTTTATTTACAATACTTATTAAAAAAAAGTTCATTAAATACTTTAATTCACTGATTTTAAAACATTTGTGAATAAGATATAGTCGGGTGGTATTGGACACACGTTTTAAGTTTCCGGACAACTTCATCCATTTAGATAATAAAAAAGAGCAACTTTTTAAATAAATATTAATACATTTAATATATTACACACAACTATAATATTAATACATTTAATATATTACACACAACTATAATATTAATTCATTTAATTCCAACAAAAGACCTAAGATTTAAAAAAAAGTTTTTATTCTCGTTAATAAAAAGTTTCGTATTTCTAATTGATGAAATTTTCATTCCCATTCTTTGTATATAAAAAGCAATTTTTGAAGGCATCTTTTTAAAAAGTGTTGGGAGCAATCTAGTGTAAATTACTTATATATTAGATTTGTGTCACACAGGTAAAATAGAGGTAAAATCGTGGTTAAACTATGTGTCCGGAGCAACCATCCAATTTTGAAACATGCCTTTTCTCTAAAATTTTTCTATTATGTTTTGTATATTATTAAGGTCTACAGTAATTATTTTATTGTTTCTAATTCGATAAATAAATGTTTATACCTTAAAAAAAGTCTTTTAACTCTTTGTTTTCTCAACAAAGAGTTAAAAGACTTTTTTTTCTTTTGTTTGCACAATCTATTTTTTACTTCAGTGTCCAAGGCTACCTGACTTTCCCCGGTTTTTTTTTTTTTTAAACTTCACTTTTTAAATGCTTTTTATTGTAAACAATTTATTTTGTAATTTCAAACAATTCATTTTGTTTTTAAAAATTTTAGTTTAAAAAAGTGTTGTTAACATTAATAATAAGTACTGGTATATTGTTTACTCAACACTCAACTTAACACTCAACTCAACACTCAACTCAACACTCAACTTAACTTGTAAAGATAACTTGGAGCAATTTCTAGTTTTTGAAGAATTCTTTGAATAAAGTCAACTCAACACTCAACTTAACTTGTAAAGATAACTTGGAGCAATTTCTAGTTTTTGAAGAATTCTTTGAATAAAGTAAACTTTGAAGCTGATTTGAATATATGAAGCAAATATCTGAATTTTGATATCTTAAAGAAATTCCACGTTATATCACCACGTCCATTAAACCATTTCTCTTCCTTTTTATTTCATGTTTTGAAGCATAATTTCTATTTTAAAAAAAAGTATTGCATGAAAAATTTCAATTAAAACTGTTGTGCAGCTAAGATCTGGCAATTTTAATACTATTCTGGTGTTCTAAAATGTCACGGTTTTCATAACATTAAAAAAACATTTATAATGCAGAATTCAATAAATGTACTTAAAATGCTGATATATAAAACAGGTTTAAAAAACGTAGTAAAACAAATTATTATATATAACCCAATTTTAAGGTCTATTTATCAAAACACTTCCGTTACTCTTTGTGGTTCGTTTTATTTTTAACATTTTTAGTTACTTATAACTTACATCTCACTAAAAATCTAAATGAAAAAACATCATTAAGAAATTAATGTGTAGTTTTAGTCAGTGGTGTATAAAGGTTTTTAAATGTTTGAAATAAGCAACCTATAAACAACAAGAATATTCCAAACTTTTTTATGTTCATATATATAACGAAAAAATTCTTTACAAAAAAAATTACTCTGATAGGAGAATGGGTACAAGAAACCCCCTGCCCCAAACGTGAGAGCAACAAGTTGATGAAATATATTTTGTACTATTTTTAACCTCGACTTATATTCATCGATAAATTTTATATTTCATTGTAAAATATTTTAGTGTTTAAAAAGAAAGTGTATCGAAAAACAACTGTTTTTTGAACTTGAAATTGTAATAGAGCGGAAATTGTAATTGCACAATGCTATAAAAAGTAATTGTGCCAAATTTATTTTCTTCAATTTGATCTAGGGTTTTATTTTTCTTACAAAAACACAATTTCTGAACTTTTTTACAAATTAAAAATAACAATTCAAAATTGATTTCTGGTATAGAGGGCGAAGGGCTAAGATTTTAGGGTTTCTTGTGCCCATTCTCCTATCAGAGTAATTTTTTTTTTGTAAAGAAATTTTTTGTCATACATATGAACGTAAAAAGATTTGGAATATTCTTGTTGTTTATAGGTTGCTTATTTCAAACATTTAAAAACCTTCCTACGCCACTGATTTTAGTGATATATCACCTTTTTTTGAAATTACTAAAATTTATTTGAAAATAGATCAAACGATTGCACACCTACCATGAGTTTAGCAAAATTTATTATAATATGTTAGATTACTAAAAAGTTGATATTCGTTGGAAATGAATTTTTTTAGTAAAGGGTTGATTATAAATTATTCTCACTCTAAAATTTAAATCAATTACGTAGTTATTTTGATAAAACTTTTAAAATGCAGTTTTAAATACCTATTGAATGTGTCACACATCGTATATTTTAAAATATGCTTAAGTTTAGTTTTTAATGCCTTTATGGTTGTCATGGTTTCAAAAAAAAGAATTATGCGTCTGTGACATTTTTAAAAACGTTTTTAAATATGAATCGGCGAATGTTAAAAGGGCGAAAATACAGATTTGCAAAATTGACTTTTTAGCAAATTTGTATATTGAAAAGATAGCTCCATCATTTTGTGTTAAAAAGCTATCTGTCAAACATTTTCTCTAGCCTGTGCAGTGCCTAAAAGTTTTTGTTTTTTGTTAAAAGGGCTGAAGGCCGGACCTCAGCCCTTTTATCAAAAAATAAGAAAAATTGTGCTGAAGATAGCAGACCAAACGTAACCTTACTTTGTTGTTTTGATAATGGTGAATAAAGTTGATTTATTACGCTTGATCATTTTGAAAGTGATTTAAGTTGATTAACTGCTTTTTTAAATGGGTGATAGTGGTAGCGAGTCTGATCATACAAATTATAAAAAAAAGACAAAAAACCCAGGTGATTATAAAAGGAACAACATTAAGAAATCGAGGCTTACTGGTGTGGTGTGGCATATGAAAACCACAGGGGACAAAAAGTTGATGCAAAGTCTAATGGAGATCCATGCAGGAGATAATACGCAATAATTCTTAATTTAATAATACGCAATAATTCTTAATTTAATAATACGCAATAATTCTTAATTTAATAATATGTCTATGCTAAGTTGTAATAATTTGTCTAAAATTTGATCAGATTTAGGCTCTGTAATTTATAGTTAGCCTATAAACCTAAATTGTTGATTGCTTGTTTAGGTTGTAAACATTTGTAGGCTTAAGACAATAGAATGATATTTTTAGGGTAGTCTACAATCACTTATCGTATTTTAACTTAAATTCTATTTTGTTCCTAGACTAGGCTACCTATAATTTTTTTTTTAATAAATGTTTTTTTCAGTTGTTCAAGAAAGTGTTTTAAATCTATTGGCAAAGACAACCTCGATGATGCATTTATAAACTTTTACAGCCAGTTCAATACAAAGATGAGCAGGATTTATTTTTACACGACTTGATTGATGTTACGGATATTGTGAGGAAGAGGCCTGGTTCAAGAGATAGTAAGGGAAAATGTCGTGATACAAATGATGATATTGTACGAAAAAGAAAAAGTAACGGCGGAAACAAAAAGGAATTTAAATATCATGTTTTGATCGGAGATGAACGAGTACAGGTATGTGTTGTGGCATTTTTATCAATATTTTCTGTGTCAGAAAAGAGGGTTCGAAGATTTAGGGGTTTAAAAATGGATGGAAAAGCAGTTGAAGATTTGAGAGGAGTACATACGAGTAACATTACCAGTCATGATATACTAGCTAAGGTATACACTTATAATGACTCCTTTCCAAAAAAACTGATGCACTATGGCGGAAAGGAAAGATATTTTTCGAGTGAAGATTTGAACGTTAAGTTAATGTATGAACTATTCATGAAAAAAAATGAAGGGGTAATGTTCAATTACAAGTTCTATTATAACTACTAAAATTAGCATTTTCATTTATGTTTCGGGCAACATCAAGTAGACACCTGTTGCATATGCAAAGAGCTAAAGCTAAAGATAAAATCACTTCACCTTAGTAAGGTTGCTAAGCAAACAGCAGTAACTGAGTTGACAGTACCCAGTAAGCACAAGACGCATTTTAGACACTTATAGACGTCTAAAACTAGTCTAGGTAAAGACGCACTTTTATAGACGTTTTGAAGACATTTTCTAGACGTCTTTAATAAATGCGCTTTTAAAATGACGTTTAAAACGCGTCTTTTTAAAGTTTAAAAAGACGTTTAAAAGACGCATAATAAATAGTCTAAAAGACGCATTAAAAGACGTCTAGATCAAGGCTAAAAGACGTCTTTTCTGTGACCTGTTTATAAATATGTCATTATGACTTCTTTTTGACGGCTTTGTCATTACGCGTTAAGAAGATGTCGTATATTCAAAGTAAAAACATAGTTTTTATTATTTTCAATAATTTGTTCAAGTTTTAAGTGTAAATTACTTTAAATTAAATTACTTTTTTACACAATTGCTAAAATTGTTGTCACAGGAATCACTAAAATAATTGCTATAATATTAATATATCTTTTTTTTATTAATAATTATTTTGCTTTTTTAATAGATAGTTGACTGATCATTATAATAAGTGAAAATGGCAAGAATAATATATAAGTTAAATATCAGTATTTTTAGTTTTTATACACCCACAAGCCATATAATAAGTCAAGTATGCGGTCAAAAATTAGCTATCAATATTTATGTTAAATTTCATTATAACTAAAAATATGTTATAAATGTTTTAAACACTGTTTTGATATATATACTTGTTATTGTTTTTTATTATTTTCATCTTTGATGCATCAACCGTTGGTGGTGATTACAGCAATATTATCTTGACTGCTGGTTTATATGTATATTTGGTATAAACGAAATTAAAACAATTTATGATGTTATAAATACAATGAATATATACCATATACTACGCAAAAGTGTTACGTCATGTACTTAAATTTAACTTGAAAAAAACGTCTAAAATACGTCTAAAACGCGTTTTTATAAAGACGTCTTCATTTAGACGTCTTTTAGCCTTATGATCTAGACGTCTACAAGTGCGCCTTTTAGACCTCCTTAAAGACATCTTTAAAACGTCTTTTAAACGTCTTTGTGCTTACTGGGTACATAACTGACGCGCAAAAAATTTTTACCAAGCGATAAAACAAGATGTGCAGGACGCTTGGGAAGAAAAAATTATAAGTGTTTTGTCCCTAGCAGTAGATTATATGCACAAAATTTCACTACCTAAAATACCTGTGCAAAAGTTATTTTACCTAAGGCAGTTAGCGGTTAGTATATTTTCTACTCATGATGTGAAGAGAAACGTTGCAACACTCTACCTTTATAACGAAGGGCAGGCTAGAAAGTCTTCAAATGAAACTTGCTCTTTTCTTTTGCACTACCTGTCTACCTGTTCTCTAGAGTATGATGAACTTAACTTTTTTTGCCAATAATTGTGGGCAAATAAAACAACTTTTTTCCCTGTCACCGTGAGTTTTCGATTATAAAAAGAGAGTTAAGAAGGCATGACAGAGTGTACAGCGTCCAAGAAATAAAAAAATTATATTAAAAAGTAGTAATCAAAAAAAGTTTTTAGTGGTTGATGTAGAGAGTTCATCTCTAGTTTACAATGTTAAATGTTAGTGGCCAGTCCACTATAAAAAAAACCTTACCTCAATTGAAACGATGGGTAAACTCAGAAATAACAAACTCAGTTTGCAATAAGCAAATTTCACCATTTTCAATACGATTATGACAACATAGATCAATGTAAAGCCAGTGAAATTATTAATGGCACTGTCAAACATACTTTTATGATAAGAAAAAATACTCAAAAGAAGGTGAAAAAAATAGCTTCTTTACTCAAATGGAAAAGTTCCAATAAAGTCTGCAAAATTAAGGTTCCTCAAAAAAAAATATAAAAAAATATATTTTTGCTATTAAGATGAATTATCTCCTTCAAAAAACAAAATTGTTAAACCATTAACAAAAATTTACTGAGGAAGCAGTGCTGTTTTTTTTAGTTTCCCGAAAGTTTCCCGTTGGACTTCCGCTTTTTTAATATTCACCGATTCATATATAAAATAGTATTAATACTGAAAACTAGGGTGAATTAGATGAAAGTGACCCTAGCAAAATTTTTTGTTTCAAAATGGTTTATAATTAGTACCTTAAGGTATGTTGGTTATATTTTTGTGGAACTTTTTTACTACATTTCGTGACTTTGGCCAAGGCTAAGTGACTAAATGTAGTAAAAAAATCTGTTATGAAAAAATTTTCATGATTATTTGTAAGTAATATGGTAGTTTATGTATTGCAATGATAAAAAATTTAGAATTCTGTATTCTCCCAAATTCTTATAAATAATTTTACTATTAAATTATTATAAGTTGAAATTATTTAAGTTGTTTAAATATGCCCAAAAATGTAAACTTAATCACGAAAGCGGAAAGCCTGTTACCTGTTGATACCTAACTTTAAAATAGGGGCATCATAACACATTGAAAGTTTTAAAAATGGTTCATTTACTCAAAGAAAACCAGCTTCAAAATAAAAAATACCCAGATCAATATTTAAAATAAGATTAAACAACTATATCTAAAAAGATAGCATTGTTTATATTTTAATGCAAAAATATTTTAAGAGTTATGGAAAAAATTTAATCTATTTTCGGGTTTCTTGTGGAATTTAGGTGAATCTTGTCAAATGATATAACTTTAAGTGTATCTTGTGGAATGATATGACTTTTAGGTGTATCTTGTGATATAATATGACTTTAGGTGTATCTTGTGGAATGATTCAACTTTATGTGCATCTTATGGAATGATATGACTTTAGGGATCGTCCATAAATTATGTCATGCTATTAGAGGGCAGGGGGTTCGTGGTTTTGTGACAACTCATTCTAAACTTGCTACTTAAGTGTTACAATATTATGATTAGTATGTGGGTGGGTGGGGGGGGTGATGCGTATTATATAAGGATGCATAAGGATGCATAAGTACAAAAATCTTGTTGTACTTATGAATCTTTTAGTCCTTTTTACTGGTTTGGACCTAATTCACGTCAACACACCAAGGTTAACTTTAGCCCACCATTTTTACCATCAAAAAATACTTTAAGTGGTTGAATTTTCAATTGTGAGACAAATAGCTTTAACTAACATATCTATGCACTTCTAACAGCTAACAACTCGGTGTTTGAGGAAATATTTTATGTGATTTTCATCCACTTGATGTTAAAGTAAAAATGAGTCAAAGCCACCTCAGTTTACTGTACTTATATGAATTAAAATTAAAGACGTATTTGTTATATTATTACATTAAATATTATCCTTAAACTAAAAAGAAAAAAGTGCTATCACTATTATAATCTTATTGTCGACATTTACATGCAACTCGATCTCATATACTTAACTCATATCTTTTTTTTTTTTATGTTTTTTTTTTATTTTTTATTTTCCTTTTAACTTTTTTATCAAATAAGATTTTCTCTGTAGTCAAATGTTTCTACCTTAATTTTTCTTTCTCCATATTTTACTGTTTTTCTACAGTAGACTGTTTCTTTCTTAATTGTTTTTTCTCTATTTTTGACTTTCATGGCTTTTTTACTTTTTGAATTTGCTGCCTCGTTTCAGATGTCACAACCAAAGATAAAGCTTCTTGTTCGCGCTTTGAAATTGAGACTAATTGTTATGACAATATTAAATTATTTTTGATTGAATTTATGATTTTTGATGCTATTTTTTAAACTGAAATAGCTAATTCTGGTTCTCTTACTTCTGCAATTTTGTTATCAGTCATCTCCCTACTGTATAAAGTTTTTACCTTTTTACATTACAGATTGATGATAGCTTTTCATTAATGTGATGTACGTTCTCTGTTAAAATTATGGTTGGATCCCATAAAGCCCTTTTCCAATGATATAGCTGGAGGTATTTAAGATCACCATTCCAACTTAAATAATTATCAGGTATTTTCAATTGCTCAATGATTCTTAAATTAGTGTACGATTCAATGGTTATGTGAGATGAAGCTGTCACATTTAAATGTTTCTCTTTTAAATAAGTAGTTGGAGTGTTAATGGCAGTTGACTCAGATAATCCTTGAGCATTTTTTGTGTAGCCAACACTATTTGCATCGAATGAACAAATTCCGGTATTTTTAAAAGCACTATTAACATTATTTGCCACGGAGGATCAATTATAAACAAACACAATGCTTTTAGTACATTTGCCTCGTTACTTTTCCGTCCTTTATTTTCAAAATGCTATTGTTGGCAAAAAAATTTCCACCGATTTTCATCGGCCTAAATCAGCTACGTCGTCCGCAAGATATGTATTGCATTTGGGAACATAGCAACAAGAATTGTTTCATATTTAGAGCAAAACTGAATAAATTTGACAAAAAAATGTGACGCGTTACCATAAAATAAAAAACAAGAAATCTTAATGGAATTACCTTTTTTTTTTTGTTATCAAAAATGGACAAAAAAAGTTTCTAATATATTCAAAAAATATTCTCCCATTATCAAATTTTTTTGTTTTTTTCCTAAGTTTCATCCTGATGAAGTAGCATTTATAACTCTATTTGGAAGAAGAACATATTTAAAAATTGTTAACAACTT